CCGTCAGCTGAGGGAGTGCGTGGGTGCGGTATCTTGGCAGAGTGAGCTGGGTGCGCGGTGTCACGCTGTTGTACTGTAACCTGGAAATCGCTTTGTTGCGTTTGTGTTTGGGTCATCATGGAAATTATTTTCTTGGACTAATTTGCATTTTGACGTTACCAGTGAAGTGGAGTCGTGGCAAGAGCAGCATCGGCAGCACTCACGCACGTGAAAGCGAGGGGAGGAGACGGTGTCTGCCTGCGGCCACGTCTTAGAGCCCGGCTCAGCCGGTGTGCAGAGACTGCGCGGGGCTCTGACAGCCGTCTCCCCAGAGGACAGCGCCTTCGTTTCAGAAACAGGACTAAAAAGCTGCCCCTTGTGTTACTCCACAATTACCTGTCAGGATTTGGGGGTACGGCTTGCCATAAAAGTTGAAACTTTCTGACTGGGAGCTGCCTGTGCTTCACACTTGAGATTTTCAGCTGTTCAGGAGCTGGTTGTACACTCTGTTGCTTGTCTGTTTTACAGAGCAAACCGTAACTCGGGCCCGTTCCCCTGCCTGCTGCTGCCCTCTCTTTCCCAGGCCTGGCAGTGTATTTGTGACCCGTCCGTCACTGTGGGGATGAAGGGACAGAGGTCGGATGCAGCTCCCCTATGGCAGGTCCATCCCGAAGGTGACAGCCCTCATCTTCTCCCTGGCAGACAGACAGACAAGGCTGGACTGGCGCCTCGCCCTCACCCCCCATGGTAGCCCTTCCCTTCCCCATTAACTGCCTGCTGGGGGTGGCTCTGTCCTGCTGCCCTTCCTCTCAGGGCCAGCAGAGGATGGGGCAGGGGCAGGAGGGTTGAAGAGCCAGCGACTGCTTCATTCACGCACAGCCCAGCTGAGAAGTTTTCAAAGCACACTGCAGCTCTGCGTGGGGAAGATCTGTGCCCGCAGTCAGCTTCCTGCAGACACAGAAGGATGCCTTCCTGCTCCGAAAAGCTCCCAGGCCAAGCAGTTGTCAGATTGCCTCACAAACAAGCAAAAGGCCCGAGGACAATGTTTCGATGTTTGTCCTCTTTGGGTTTCCGGGCGGGTTATGCAGAGCGTGGGAGGAATGGGATAAAATGCAACCTCCCTTGCTTCCTGCAGTCGAGCTAACTGCCCGCGGCAGGGCGCCGAGAAAAAAGAAAGGCTCAAACCTTGGCGATGCCGCCTGTCGGCGTGAGAGCGGAGTGGGGCTGTCTCTGAAGCAGTCACCTCGTCTTTGCGTGCCTTGGTCCAGCAGAAGCCGAGGGATGCTGTTCTGCCTGGTCCCCAGGGAATGGGTTGGGTTTAAGCTGACTTAGTATTGACAGTTCGCAGGGACGCGTTTGTGAACAAACATACCACAGGCTTCAAAAATAACTCGGGCAGGTTTTTCTAAACCTGCTAAAAATATGAAACCCGACAAACCGCTCTGCATCTTTCCGAGGAGGGGACAGCCTGCTGGGGAGTGTCCCTGCTCCACGGCGTAGGCGCGTGGCGTCCTGCTTACACTGAGCTCCAGCGCACGCATGGCAGAGGGACGAGGGGGAACCGTCCCACCTTGCTGTTTAAACTGCTGTGAAATTCAGACTCTGGTTTTGGTTGGAATATTTGCCATTTTTGCATAAGCTAGAAGACGATTTCCAGAGATGGTGATCATTTGTAAGTCATTTAATGGTTGAGGATACAGAAATCTCAAGATATTGGTGTTTTAAGTGTCTCTGGAGAGCTTTAAACACAGCAAACACCCCAGGAGCAGCCTGGGACGAGGCCATGTGCGGCAGGGCAATGCCACTTTCTGTGCGGTGGGCGGTGGAGAGCTCAGGCTGTGAGCAAGGGCTTTGATCCTTGCTGCTGAAATCAAGGGAAGCTCTGCTCTTCCCTGCATCGAGCACAGGACAGTTTTCTCTTCCACACCCACATCATGGTCCTCTCCTCCCTCCTAAACCTCCATTCAGCCTTTCCCTTCTTAGCCCATGTCGCCTGCCTGCGCGTGCCGCTTGCCTGCTTCCTCGCTGCTCGGGTTTGCTCCTTCGCACCCGTCTGGCCGGGATGTGCTCTCCAGCTCAGTCGGAGCAGCCAGGTTCTGTCCTGCACTTCGCAGAGAGCTCGCTTGCGATGGCCCCAGAGCAGAGCCAGCGCTGTTTTCTATCTGGTTCCATGCACTGAGCAGGCACGGCAGCGTCCCGGTAGTGCTAGAGCGTGGTGTGCGCTTCGTGCTCTCCCTTCCGTTCCCTGGGGGGCTGTAGGCGAAAGGGCCTGGAGGAGACACTTTCTCTTTGCTGGAAATAAAGGGTAGTTTTGTATTTATTTCCCTGCCAGGCAGATCATGAGGAACAACTTGTCATGGGGGCTCTTTTGGAAAGCCAGTGAGGTAGAGCTGTTTGTTTAGCAGCAGGAAAGTCAATCAGACCAACAAAAACTATTGGTGATTCCTGGGAGGGAAGCAACGAGGGCCGGGCAGAAACTCCACCGCACGGCAGTCACGACCAGCAGACAGGGAGTAAACGCCGCGGCTTCTGGTTGGGGTCTCTTCCATCTGCTACAGCTGCGTGTCACAGCCCTTTCATGTTGTTGCTCTGTCCGTACAGCCTGGTCACTTCTGTGGACAGAATCACAGAATGGTAGGGGTTGGAAGGGACCTCTGTGGGACAGCTGCATCTTCTCCTTGTTCCC